TTATGTTGCTGCATACAATTCTTTAAAAGTTACTTTAAAATTTATTTGTAATACGTCACATAGTTTATGTTGCTGCATAGGATACTTTAAAAATTACTTTAAAACATTAGAGACAATTGCACTTTTAAATAAATATTCAGATGATGAAAATTTCTGAATGAAACTATACAGGATGAGAAACATGAGGAGCATTTATTACAGTATACGAAAGAGAAATCTTGATATAAGGATTTGGTAGTTGTATTAAGAAATCTTGATATAACCACCAAAACCTGATACTTTATAAAATATTTTATTATTTTGATTTGTTTCTTCTGGAGCTGGAGCTGAAAATTTTAATGGAGCTGGAGCCAATTTTATTACCTAGGCTCTAAAACCCTGATGGAAACAGAGCCATTCATTAACAAAGAACAAGTCAACATCATTGGGATAGCATTTGATAATTTTTTAGCATGCAATTTGATGGTTTTATTGTTTAACTTAATCAGCAATCTAAGTAGTGAGTTTAATTTTCAATTTAATTTTCAAGTCAATTTACTGTGATCAAGTTAAACAATTATTTATTTTGTTGATTTCCACAAACATTAAAAAAAAAATTTTTACTCTCATAGTAAAGTAGATAATGAAACGTAAAAATCTTTTGCAACTTAAATGTTAATTTTGATTGCCAGGAATCTTTTACTCACTTTGTCTAATATCTTTATCATGGTACTCCACATAACAATCATAATTATGATAGTTCCAGATAACTGTAAGAATGCTCTTATACTAAAATGTGATGTTTAATCCATGACAACTGTCAACAATCAATTGACCTTCAATAAAAGGTATATTTAATTCAAAATTATTATAGAGTGAAAATGAATTAAATGAACTAAATTTAGACATTTTTCAGGCACTAATCGATTCCCCCCCCCCCCCCGTTTTTATGATTGATTATGATAGAATTATACTGGTTCAGAATCATATAAAAACATAGGTCTAAAAACTTGAAGAAAGTACTCTAATTTAATGTTTTAGTATAAAAAAACACATTATAAACACTAATATTTTTATTTTATTTAATATTTATCTTTTTCATACACAATTATAACTGAATTCCTTTTCAATAATAACTTTTAAAAAAGCCTGGTTTCTATCGACACCTTAAAACAAAACTGTTTGAAAATGCATAATGCATTTCTGATTGATCTCTGAGCCTAACCCTGACCCAAACCATGTACATTTAATTGCATCAATCCATATTTGTCAGTCGTATATCTTAAAATGTGATATGTACATCTTGGCTGTCATTTTACTGTCATGTTATTTTTTACATCATAAAATGTGAATTAAGTTTAAATGTTTTACGATTAAAACTGGGTGGCATAATTAAAAAAATAACTTTTTAAATTTTGAAAACAGTGTCAAAATGTTTTAAAAAAAAATGGTGTAATTTTTGACATCAAATTAGAGTACTTTCCTCAGGTTTCCAGACCTATGTTTTTATATGATTCTGAACCAGTATAATGTATTCTATCATAAACAATCATAAAAACAAGGTGAGGGAGTAAAAGTCGAGTAGCGCCCATTTTTCATACACTATTCTGTTTACTTTTAAAACTTTTTTGTTTTAAATTTCTAGTTAAATATTAAAAATATATTTAAAAAAAAAATCTTTTTTGTTTAAAATATATTTTTTTAGTTACCCCTGGGTACCTTTGTAGCTTGACACCATGTCAGCTGCATAATAATAAAATATTTTATATATAGGTTTGCAAATATCACATTTTACAGAGCCAAAAAAAGTGCAAAAATTCTGTGCTGCATTTTTTGAACTTTTTTCAAAGTAGCGCCAGAGAAAGTTTTTTTGTGATATTTATTTTTAAAAATGTATATATTAAAATAAATAAAGTTATAAATAAAACTTATATTATTTTTGAAAAAAAGAAAAGTGGAGCTGATTTTAATGTGGCATTTATGTATGGTTGACACATTTTGATTTTACTAAATTGATGTTGAAAATTTAATTGCTGTTCACGTGTCAAATTAATGTTAAAGGAAAGTTGAGATTTTTTTCAAAACTACTCGGGTATATTTTATACACATTATCTTAGCACCTGCCATATTTTAGGAAAAAAAATTTAGTCACAGACACCATTAAAAGTGTTGCACTTTTGGTACCTAAAATCCCTTTTTCAGAATTCTGTATTGGGGGAGGGGGCAGTATTAGATTAAGAATCTTGTGTGACTAGTTTAGACCAAATAGATTATTATTGACTTAACTCCTTATATAATCATATATTTGATATTATACATTTTAATATTATTATTATTATTGTGTTTAATATTATAAAACATTGTAATTATTAAGTCTAATAAATATCTATTATTAGTAATAATGTATTAGTAATACATTTAGTAATATATTACATTATTATACATTATTAGTAATAATGTATACATTATTAATTAAACACAATTTAACTGTGAATTATGATATAGTTTATGCAAATTGTATTAATTCTATTAATTTTAATTATAGTATTATTATTGATAATATTATTAATCATAATATAATAATATGATTCTTAAAATTATTAAAATAATAGTTGATTTTATTTTACATCTGGTAAATTAAATTCTTTTTTGAATATTTTATATAGAAATTACATATAACAATGACTTTTGAAATGGAAAAAAGTTTTCAATATTTCTGTTTCTTGTTGAGCATTAATTTCAATAAATTTAATTGTAAAATTTAATTGAAAATAAATATTGAGTTTAAATACTGAAAATAAATTTAACTGAAAAAAAGAAAGTTAAAACGAAAATTACTGACTTAAATCCAAATAAAGAATTTTTAAAAACAATTGACTACATAACAACTTGATGTTTAAATGATGTTATGTCTGAGAGAATAGTTGGTAAAAAGTTTTGCCATGGATGGTATGATATTAAACAATCTAAGTATAATAGGAGAATAGAAAAAGTAAAGAAATGATTGCAAGACAGATTTTATACTATTTTTTGCTGGCAACAAAATAAAACAGATTCTGAACCTGTTGACTATCGCATAAAAAAGTTCCAGTTTGCTGCTGATGTTGTTTCAGGAGAGTTGATATTTTTTTAATGTTAAGATGTATTATTTGTTGGCAGTCTTAATGTGTACTATTTTCATAACTTTTATGATTAATAATGCCAAAATAGATACCACAGGTATTGTGATTTGCAAAAAGGTATCGCAAGTGATAAAATTTGCATAAAATTTTTAATAGACGGCACTGGCTTTCCTTCACGTAGTGTCTATCGTTAAAAATGATTATTATATAGTTTCATTATTGGAATTTTAATTTTTAATCATTTACAAAAAGCCAAAACAAAAAAAGTAACTGAATATATCCTCTGTGTAATTAAAAAATATTTCTTGTTAAGGAGATTTTTATTACTTCTTTATTTTAACAGTCATAGAATTCCATCAATAGCAGTTGTATAATATTACTTTATAAGGTTGTGTTGTATTATTTTGTAATGTTGTAATGTATAATACCATTTTGGTAAAACAAATTTATTACAATTTTAATTTCAAAAAATTTCTAAATTTGGTTGGGAGGAAGTAAATGCCTTATCGCAAAAGGAAATGAACACATCATAGATAGATAATTTGTTTTTAATAATAATTTTTTCACATTTTATAAAGATACAAATAGTTATAAAATTGCAACATTCTTTGATTTTAGTTTAAAGAAATATGTATTTTTGGATATATAAAATGGCGGAGCAGCTCCCACTCTAGTTATTCCAAATGACATGAGGTACCATAACTGCAATTAAATTTTGTTTTAGTAACTTTGGCGCACAGTAAAAGCAAATAAAAAAAATATTTCTCCACTACATCCACCCTAACTATAAGATACACTTCTAATGTTTCCTTGGGATGTAAAATGAAATAATAACAACTTTTTGAATAAAAAAAACCTATTAACATCATTTAAACACATACTTTTATGAAATAAATTTGCATTTATTGGATGGTAAAGGGGGTGATTTATTGCCCCCTCTAACTTTCTGAAAGCGCCCACAGACGAGTGACGAATTTAAACACAAAGTCCTTTCATACACCTATCTTTTGATACCAAGATATAGTTTTTTAGATAAGTTTATTGAAGGAAAATTAAATTTTGACCACAGTTTCTTCAAAAAATCCATATATTGAAAAATCACTACTTAAACATCATCACTTTTGGTAGGTTTGCTGGATTTTGATGATATTTCACCTTTAAAATACCACATTGTTAATACAGTATTTTAGAGGTGATTATACACTAGACTGGTGATTATATACTAGATTTAAATTGATTATATACTAGATTCTTATATCACTAGAAAAGGCTTCAATACTATTGAAGTCCTTTCTAATGATATATAACAATCTAGTATATAATCAACTTAAAATTTCATGTTAAATACCTACTAAATAGAAGTCATGGAATACCTAGTCATGGAGTAATGGTAGATAACTTAAACATTTTTGTGAACACGTATGCTTTAACATGTTGTATTTTGATGCCACTATACTTAACTTTTTCATGATTTTGAAACGTAATTTTTAAAATGATTTGTCTTTTAATTTTTAACAATTTTTTTTTTAATAAACTGTTTAAAAAAGGAACCATAGTTTTAAAAATTTTTAAATACTTATTTAATTAAAAAAAAAATAGTTTAAACTACGTGAAAATATGTGGCTTAATGATATTAAACACATATTTTTAATATTTTTGAATACAATATTTGCATTAGTAATGTAACTATTATATTCTTATATCTTATATACCAAATATATAAAATAGGTAAACAAGAGCACATATACCGGCGCATATAATTAAATTTAGAATGCTTGCTTAGAGCAATTCATGTAATCAATAAAGCTATAAATGAATATAGTTAAAATATAGTTAAAAGCTATAAATGAATATATCTATTCTAAAGAAAACTCAACACGTTATTAAATATATTCTTACTGATCCCTTATCTCTTTACGGAGTTTAGCAATTTTTTTTCGGGCATCTGTGAGACATTTTTTTAAACTCAACTTTAGATCTTCCACATTACAAGAATCTAGCTCTTGCATCAAATATTGCTTTAATGAGAGCAAGTCGGGAGCATCATCAAATAAATCATCAAAGTCTGGCGCCATTTTTTTTTATTTTTGTTTAAAATCAGAATCAAAATACTGTTTATTTTTAACGACGAACAAAGAGCCTTTTTTTTCACCTATTCATTCCGAAATTATTTTGGCACGGATTTTTTAGTTAAAAAATAAATTAATAATTTTGAATATATTTAAAATAGATTCAGAATTTTTTAGTGGTAAAAGGTGGGCGGAAGGGGGGGGACGAGGGAGAGGGGGAAGAGAAGATGTTAATACCAAAACTAAATAAAAAATTTGAAAAAAGCACTTAAGGTGGTACTACCCTACATTTTTTATTTTTCAAAATCTGATATTTTTCTTAAAATGATAAACATTTTTCGATAATATTTAAAAAACTAAATATAAAAAACATCATTTTTTTACTTATTTGTCACAAAAAAATGCTGAGTCAGCAAAAAAGAGCAGAAAACATGCATTCACAAAAAGATAAATAACTTGAGTAATATTTGAGATAAAAACTTTAAATTTTACAAACATATAGCTAAATGGTTGGTGGAGGGCCCTTAGTAGAATTTTTTGAAAATACAAGCCAATATAATGGCAGATATTAACCTGTAAAATTCATAAAAAATGGTCCGTGGGGTATGTAAAATTTTAAATTCTGGTCAAAATAAAAAATATTTTTTGATTATTCTACTACCAGCTCTTTCTACAATATCAATGAACAAACTGTGAAAATTTCAAAGAAAAAGAGTTAGTAATTTCTGAGATATCAATGTTCTAGTTTTAAAATATTTTATAAATATTATTCTGAGAAAAATAGCTTTTAAAATAAAAAATGTCATAAACTAAAAAAATTGGGCAAACATATCAACAGACATGGTTGCTAAGGCCGTTGCTAGGGATTTGAAAATTACCTTATTGCCTTTAAATACTAATTTAAGTACTTTATAACATTTTTTTATAGGAAAAAAAATTATAATCGTGATTCAGGATGTTCAAACTGTTAAAATTTGAAAAAATTTTGTTTTTTGTTTTTTGATGTTTTTAATAGGGTAGTACCACACGGCTGTTTCAAACCGAGCTTAACGGCTTCTTGTTAATTTTTGAAAATATTGACTAATGGGGTGTTACTAAAACTTTTATAACTTTTGAAATATAAGAAGTAATTTTGTTTTGTAAAAACAATTAAGACATCAATAAAATGTTTTACCTTATGACATTTAATGCATTAGTAGAAAAACTTCTTTTAGTTTAGAATAAATATGACATATATTGAATTTGGCTAAATTTTTGTAATTTGATGTTACTTTTTATCAAAAAAAAATTAGAAAAATATATTCCTAATAGTTATTATCAAATACACTTATTGTTTGACAATAATGAAAACAAAAAAACCTTACTTAATTATTTAAGGTTAACTAAAACAGCCTTAATCGAATTGTGAAAGCAAACCACATTTTTCGCAAAATTATGAAAAACGTCGTTATAAGGGGGGATTAGTTGTTAAATGAGTACTTTTTTTAATATAGAAGTTCTTGATTTAGAAAATTATTTTGGAACGCTGATAAAATCATTACATTACAAAATAAAGTTCTAATAATATGGTGTTAGGTAGTTAATAAATAAAAACTCATCAATTCTAATAAAATAATTCATGACCAAAATTGAGTTAAAGGTTTTGAATTAACCTAGCTTTTGGTAGTAGAATTATTTTATGGTACTTGTATCAATAATTGATACAAGTACCATAAAATTTATTGTATCAATAAATCTTCTCACAAAAAATAAAGTGTTTAAATATACACAAATAGCTGATTTAAATCTTTTGATAATTCGTTTTTATTTTCATTAAAAACTGTTTTATAATTAGTTGGTCCATTGATAAGTTCTTCAAGCAGTAAACTATCTTTGAACACCCAGATGATACTAGACTCATACATAATTCATTTAAAACCAGAAGAACATTTGGTCAAATTGGTAATTGTGATAATAAAGTTTACAACTTCTTAACTTATCAAGCTAAATTTTTACACCAACTTGATAAATGAGACTTATATTCCATTCTTTAACCAGAGAGGAGGTATGTAGAGCAGAGGTCCTGCGAAGGTAGAACTAACTTTTGATGATAAAAATTGAACGGAGATCTAATATATATAAAAAATGTTACATATTACATAACAAAGGATAAAACGTTTTTTGAATTAACTACATAAACATACAAAATCATATCCAACAAACATACCAGTTGCTCTGATCACAAATTAAAATAGTTAGCTATACATTTGATGCTAGACTTTTATTCCATTCTTTAACCTGAGCAAAGGCATTGCATAGATATAATAAACTTTTGAAAATAGGAACAGAATGGGCATCTACCTAATATATAAAATCATTGTAATAAAAAATTATTATTATTTTGAACAAACATTACAGGCATTAAAACAGAATAGAATTCTCTTATTTGTAAATTAAGGATCTTATATAATTTATCTTAGATGTAAAAAGTTTAATTTTTTTTTAACTTTTCAAACATTTAAACTAAATTTGATGACCACAAACAAGACAAAGACCTTGTCTATAAAATGAATTTTCGCCACGCTCTGAACACACAACACACTTTTGACAACAATATTTATATTATGGAAATATTTATAAAACTTTATTATATATACTACAAAGTGATATATGTATGTATATTTTATTTTTATTTTGTTGTACTTATAGTTACTTTATAATATAACATTTTGTTTACACTAGTATAAGGTTCAGACGATAAGATCTTACTGATCTTCTTTCAGATACCTAGTTTTTCAAATGTTAGCAGTATTTGCTTACTTTATAATTTGTATTAATTTTTTATTTACTCTCATTATATTGTAAAAACGAACTAACAAATGTAAACTAAAATATTAAAAAAAAAAAAAAAAAAAAAAAAATTTACAAAAGCGCCTCTAAATTTAAAGTAAAATTTCTTTTTACCTCTGGGAGGAGGGGGATGCTTGCTCCCCATCCCCCCCAATCCGTCACTGAGATATATATATATATATATATATATATATATATATATATATATATATATATATATATATATATATATATATATATATATGCACACACAGAGAGAGTTGATAATGTTGCAGTTTTGAAGGCAAAATCATTTGGAGGCTGCCTCTGGACCATTTATTTAGGAAAGAATGATGAAGAGGAGGAGGATTTGATTTAGTTGTCCAAACTATCTAGTAAAGTATGCTGAGGAGGAGCAATTTTCAGGGTTTTTAGTTAATTTTTTTAGGATATAAGTCTTTTACTGTCTAATCTATGAAATTACATTATATTGATATATTTTTTTTGTTGTTGCACCAAACAAACTTATAATAATTTTTTATTGCATAATTTACTTACGTTTTTAAAGAATTGCTCAATTAAATATTTAATATGAAAAAAAATTCTTTCCAAAATATCTAAGGATTGGGGGGGGGGAGCAACCGCACCCATTGCTTCCCCCTTCCCTCTTATGGATCCGCCCTTGCCGTGCTACGTAAACACAATATAAGAATTACACAGAGAAAAAAATTATGTATCTTACTTGTCACCTACTATTCAAAACAAGTTTATTAAAAATATGGAAGAAAAAGTCAAGAGAAAAGGCATTGAACAATAGAAGTTAAGTATTTTTCAATTATGTTTAAAAGCAACCCTAATACTTTTCATAAGGATCAAATCTGCCAAGTGTTACACTACGTTAGGAATGGAAATCAAGTGTGTGTTGCGGAATCCTTTGTTGATTTAATTAAGGCAAAAGGAAAAAATGCTAAGTCTATTTTAACTACGATAGGGTAGAGCGGGGCATATAAGGACACTAAGAAATAATCAAGAAAAGACATTAAGAAATAAATGCTAGTTTTGGATAAACTAATCATAGTTAACATTACTTTTTCTAACTTTCTAAAAATTCATTGATATAAGAAAACAAAAAAAAACAAAAAAAAAAACAATTTCTAAAAATAAGCTACGACATTCAAAGTAACGAAACTCTAAACAAGCAAAATTTTTACATTTTGCAAGTGGGTTGGACAAAATGTGACTTTTAAAAAGCAGCAGTTATTTGTTAATTTCAAAGTTTTAAAAATGATAAAAATCGAAAGCTATCTATCATTTAAACATGTTTAGACATTAAACTTTAACATAAATTACTCGCCTATACTCCACAAAAAAGAAATAAAAAATTAAAAAAACAAAATCTTTTTGTTTTATAATAAAGTACTCTTCAAACAAACTGAAGGAATTGTTCTGAAAACTAATTAGGGCAAAACTGGTATATATTATTAAATTGGGTAACTACTACTAAATTTAAAATTAAACAAAAAATACTAAGGATCACATAAATCATGCAAAAATTATTCTGAAACTATTTGGAAACATTTTTGATGAGCTGGTTTATTAGCAATATGCTAATGTAGAGTAAATTTAAATATGCCAAATGTATCAGCAGTTTTTCTAATTCTAAGTTCCTTTTTACTTATAGCTAATAATTTTTATTACTTATTTGACGATTGCTTTTTCTTATACAATTTCTTACCATCGTTATTTACATTAAGTACTATTAGTAATGAAAGTTAGCTTATAAAAATGTTGCTGTGATGTCTGGTCACCTAACTGGTGTTCAGATGCACAATAAGGAAACCAACAGCAAAACAGATTTTGTTACATATACAAACCATTCATTAAATTTAGCAGGTGTTCATCAGCATCAGGTGCTGTGAATTCTGTTACAGTTTTTGAAACTATGGAACAGTTACTCACATTTTTCACTTTTTTGACTCATATCAAGAATGTTTTGACTTCTGTCACTGGTCAAAGTGTCAAGCACAAAATGGAAATATGATGGAGTGCAAAGAAAGATGCAATTAGTGTTGTGAAAAAAATTACTCAAAATCTTAAATGCTGCGGAGCAATTTGTGAAGTTAATTTCTGTTTACTGGATTGGAATCATTTTCGATTTTGTGTTTTCTCGAATTGTGGGAATCGGTCCTTTGTGGAAAAAAGGAAACGTAGATCTATCTCCAAACACAAGGAACATACAACAATGTGATATTAAATTAGAAACTTT